GTTAGGTGTGCATTGGCACGAATGCACGCGGTGGAGCGTAGGCGCGCGCGGAGGGCATCTCCATGCAAGGTTTGCATGCACTTGATTCCGTTGAGCGTGTAGTGATGCTTTCCTTGTGACTTGACTCGGTTCCAAAGATTTGAGGCCAGTTATGATCATATCATCTCCTCATTCTTGAAAAGTAACCTACAAATTTGAACATACCACACTATACTCACCTTGAAGTGCTATCTTGTAGTCATCATCATGCATTATTGCAAACTTGAATAACTCTTTCGTTTGCTTCACAACTTCCTCCATTTCGTCCTTTGGATTTCTTCTTTATGTAAATCCGGAAAGTGAACACAAAAAAAATTCAAGTTAGTAACAACATTAAGATTTAATTTATACTTACCTTGTAAGACGATCTTACAACGGTTGGCAACTCAACACTAGGGTTGCGCTCGTTGCGGGACTTAACCCAACACCTGACGGCACGAGCTGACGACAGCCATGCACCACCTGTGTCCGCGTTCTCGAAGGCACCCCTCTCTTTCAAGAGGATTCGCGACATGTTAGCCCTGGTAAGGTTCTTCGCTTTGCATCGAATTAAACCACATGCTCCACCGCTTGTGCGGGCCCCCGTCAATTACTTTGAAAAGTCATGATATGAAGGTAGGATGAGTCCTTTAAGCTCCATGTTGTCATGAGCCTCCATAGCCTTTTGTCTCTAATTGTGCTCGGCCATGATTGATGCGAAGAGTTGGAACTTCCTGTAAAAATCTTAGAAGAGTACAAGTTCTTGGGAAAAACATGTTAGCTTGAAAGAATGGATTTATGTTCAACACTCCCTCAAGATTTGGCTTGTGAGGCCGATTATAAATGATCATACTCTTCTTCTCTTCATTCTTTGGTCTCAACTCTTACTCTTCATTTTTTCTCATATTTATCAACTCACAAATATCCACAATTTATTCTTCATGCATTAATGGTACAATAGTAGATATCTCACCCCCTTCTTTCTCAAAAGGTAAGGTTTCATGCAACAACTTGTGATCCATGAGAATAAGAATCTCAGGTGTGGATTCACAATGTATTTCATCTTCAATTATATCACTTACCTTTTCATAAATAGGCATACAATCATGTAATATTTCGCAATTTAATGAAGTATGATAAACATGCATATTATCACAAAGCATTTTATCAATCATCTTACTTACTTCTTTATCAATAGAAATTAACACTACAAGAAATATGACTTTTTATAGCATTACATGGTTATTAGCTATTAAAAAGAAGAGGCGCTAGTTAAAAAAAATAAAAATAAAAAAGGCACTTAAAATAATTTTAGGTGCGCGCGTTAGGAATACTCCGAAAATAAAACACAAGCTGCTTCTCTATTCTTCTCTTATGTTTCATCATCCCTCCCATTCACTTCACTTCGTCTTCTTTTGTTCTGCTTTGGAACTTCTCTCATTCTCTTCTCCTAGTCTCTTCATCCCTCAAAGCATAACAGGATCTGTGACAATATCTCTTTCACTACCCCTTTCATTTTGTCTATGTAATTTCTCACTCGAAAATAATCTACGAAAGACGAAGGATTTGGAGGTGAAGGAATCGATTTGTTCTGGAAAGAAATCGACCGTGAGACTTTTTTTTTTCAAGTTTGGCTGCGGGACTTGTTAGATCTTGAAAGAAATTGGCCAAATATTCTGCTTAGGGTCTGATTCAGAGTTCGGCTCTGAAATATGGAGTGCGTCATTAAGCGGCTGAATTGGTAAAGAAACCTTTCCTTCTCTTTCCTTTCGTAACTTATTTCCTTCTTACATTAGGTTTTCTCTCCAAATCGCAATGCCAACCTCACGCTCTCAGGTATTTCACAACCCTCTCATCTTCCTTCAAGGTCAATTTTGGTAGAAAATTGGTCGTCTTACGTTAGGTTTTCTCTCAACTCACTTGATATGCTTGCAACTTTTGGTATGTCAACATTCATTTACTTGGCTGGTTAGTTTTGATTCTGATTGGGTTTTTTTAAATTATTATGGATACGAATAGTTATTCATTTGTTGTAATTGTTGGAGTTCTCTAAAGTTAAAAAGTTTCGCTATTAGTCAAGTTTCACAACTTCAAATGCAGTTTTCTAAGCTTGCCCTATTTTGAGTTATTTATTTTGATGATTAGATGATGCACTATCTTTAGTTATATGATTTCAGTCCTTATTTGAATTAGGCATTCACAATGGTATTAATTTGAGTGTCATCTACAACATGAAACATTGAGTTACTTTTATTTAGGTTGTACAATCTTATTATTTTTCTTCTTTTTTTCCTTTTGTTGTCAAATTAAAGTACGAAAGAAGATGTTAGGGTTAAAAAAAAGATTTAGTTTTGTTTGAATTTATTCTTCCATTCCTTCATTCTAGTTGTAACCTTCAATTTATTTGTGTAAATTTGGGGTTGCTATCAATTATTTCAATATTCGAGGTTGTTGTCAATTTCTTCAAGTTTTCAGCTTGCTGTAAATTTACGAATGAAGTAAGAAATAGGAGATTAGAGCAAAACGAATAAATTATTTGTGTTTAAAGTTATTTTTTCATTCTTTCATTATAGCGGTGAACTTCAATTTATTTAGTGTAAACCTAGGGTTGCTGTCAATTACTTAATGTTAGGTGTTGCTGCCAATTTCATCGAGTTTTATGGTTGCTGTAAATTTATGAATGACATTGTAAACGTTAGTGATTTTCTTCTTCATGTTTCCTCTTATGAATAGTTTGTCTTTGACCACTTGGTGTAGCATTGATTGAAATTCCAGCTGAAGCTAGTGATGGAAGATTGCAAGTTTTTAGTTGCAAAATTTAAATACCATAGTAACCAAACCATGACGAAAGTTTAGAGGTATTTTGTGCGATTCAGCCTATATTTCATTTATCATATTTTCATTTTATTGGTATGCTCTTAATTTGTTGTTTTGTTGCAAACATATTGGTTGGTTGATTTCGAAACGAGCATGAATCATTGTTATATATTTCCTTTGGTTTGTAATTGTGCATTAGAAAATTTTTAGAGTGAATTTGTTGACATGTTCACTGATTTGGATACTTTATAATTTGAATGGTAGATTATTGATGTAAAGTTTGTTAAGTGCATCAATCGCACCATTAATTACTCCCTCTGGACAAATTTTGTTCTTCTTTTTACCCCACTTATTCTTGCCAGGAGATTGGAATTTAATAAAGGTCAAATGAAGGTGGAGTGAAACATATTTTTTACCTGTCTAAAAGTGGAGTTGGGTGAAGTCTTTCCATGATGTGGATTATATATTCTTTACTAATTTGTTCTATTTAACAATAAACTACTTCAAATATGTATGTCCAATGCATTTTCAAGAAATGAAATCGCTGACACGCCTATATTTTATATGCTACTTCACCCCTTACCACTTTACTGTAATATGCAATCGCTGACAAACATACAATTTCAAACACCAACTCTCCCTCACAGGGAAATGAACTAGACCAATCACCATATTTAAATATCCAACCATACAAATGATGCAAGTACTAAAGAAAGGTGGATATAACCTCTCTTTTTTTTTTCTTAACAGAGAAGTGAAAAATCATATACTATAGGCTTCTTTTTTCCTACTTCTTTTATGTCAAATTTGCTAAAGGGGAGAATGTATCACTGTCTTCTAAAGAATATTGGTTTTTTCTTTGCCCTTTTGTGACACTTTTCTCTTGTTTCTAGGACAAATCCAACCATCTCACTCATCTACTATATTCACTTTAAGTGGTCGACGGCATCTTGATCAAGTCGTTGGTCGGATTGTTGTTTTCCTTTGATTATGATCAATACCTATTCTGATAATTAGACTTATGTTTGGTTGATGAAATACAATGAATTCCTTGTTTGCTATTAAAATTTTGGATTTAGCCGTTTAAATATTTTCATACGATGGATACTCATGATTTTCTCACAAGTTCTTTCTCCTTCGTTTTGTATTTTAGGTCTGTGATTGACTAAATGTATTGGACATTGGTGAGAGGAAGCTAAAATATGGGATGTATTGTGCATTGATCAACTAGAGGATGCCTATGTGGGTGTAGTTCATTGTTAGATCTAACCACTATAATTTCTGTGTGTTCTTCTCCTTTCATCTCTATTTTATCACTTTTTTGATACAAGTTACATTTTTGGTTCGGCTGATTTTCTATTTTTCTTTTATTGAATGTTTGGTTGTGATGTTGGTGTGTATTGAATAAGAAGGAGTTTGTGAGAATTTGATATAACAATTTCTATAACTAAATGTTCCATTATGGTATCACTTCAACCAAAAACAACATATGTGGATGGTATTGGATGCTCGAAGGGCTCGAAAGGTAGACATATTAAATTCAACTTTTCTATGTTTTGCTTGTTTCTTCTCCTTACTTCATCTGTTATTTGCCCCACCCCTTGCTATTCTGATGCCTGGGAATGTAACGATAATAAAAGAAATAGTATCATGAAAACATTGAAAGCATTACTAACAATTTTATTAAATTTATTTATAGTTAACATAGGTTGAAATAAGTAGAATTATACCAGTTTTCTAAGACTTTGACTTCATAGTGATATGACATTGTTCAAAATCTTGTAGTAGTGAAATTCAAGATTGAATTGTATGATGGTTCACTTGTGCTAGATGCTTAAATGCATACCATGGAGTTCAATTTTGTACCCAAAGTCGGATGTAAGCTGTTTATTTAACTAATGATTATATCAATAATTGAAAAGTCAGAACTAGAATTTGGAATGACTTGCAAGCATTTTGTTGTAATTGTCGTACTCCACCAAAAGGAGTAAGCTAACTGCAAGTTGATGATCATTTCATTATTCTACTTCCTTGCTCCCATTTATTAAAAATCTTTTTACTTGATATGATCATTTCTCCACTCAACGAAGAAATATTTTACATGAAGCTGGCTAGGCTAGGGGTGACTACTCAGAAGCTCTCTCTTGCATTTCAGATCACCATTGCATTTCAAAAGCGGTGCACATCCAACCATCACGGGCTAACCTCACAAGACGACGTCGTCCAAGCGCGACATCGCCGCACGCCGCAAGTGCCATCGTGCACCCACACACGACAATGCCAGT